CATAATGTAAGATCAGTGTATCAACACGACTTTCCCAAGTTTTATTTAACCTCTGTGTGACATTAATTGAAGCAAATGAGATATAATCTGCCAGCATGGAGGATGAAGCCTTTTTTGCTTGTTGTCATCCTTCCAGGCCCGTCCCAGACCTTCCAGGAAAATCCTTCTTCTCCTTCAGCAACGAGGACTTTCTGGAGAGGAGGAGGAAAGGACTTCAGGCCTTCTTGGACAAGTCAGTTCTTCATCTTCATCATCATCATCATCTTCTTCTAAAACAAATCTCAGTGCTTAATCTGCTGTGAGAGTTACAGCAGCGTGACTGATATAATGTCATAATTATTTTTGTACTGTGTCCTGACAGAGTGGTGCACATGACAGTATGCCTGTCAGACAGCCAGCTCCACCTCTTCCTGCAGACCCAGCTGCCGGTCGGTCACATCCAGGACTGCGTTCAGGGCCACACCCCCTACTCCGTGACGGACGCCATCCTCACCTACGCCTCGTCCAACTGGGGCTTGGCTCAGGCTCAGGAGGACGATTCCATCAAGGAGCCGAGTTTGACCGTTTCTTATGAGTCCATGGAGAGGTACGAGGGACGGATCTAAACCACTGAACTATACCTGTGAAAATAACCTTTTACCTCTGCATCATCCTTTACTGTTTAATTTTACAGTGAAGGATCTAAATTGTTCTGCATATTTGGGTGTTGATTCTCAAGGATTTGATGTCACTACCAACCCTTTCACATTAGACAGTTATTAGATTCAATATAAAAACATTGCTACAGAGATGAATGATATATTCTGAACCCTTAGTAAATTTACAGTTTGAGCCGGACTAAATCAAATAAGCATGGTTTTAACAGTTTTTTTTTTTCTTTCCCACCACAGCCCAGCTCCTCATCAACCGTGCCTACAAATCAAGGAGACTTTCAGCCCCGACCTTCTCTCCTGTGGAGACTCTGACCCTCTAGAAGGTTTACTGGAGCAATGTGATCAGGACACGGCTGAGTTACCGCATAAGGAGAAATCCTCAGTAAAGATCTCCCAGGAGAACAACCATCTAGAGGCCGTTGTCGAGTGCGACTGTGGTCCGACAGAGGCAAGCTTTTTTCTGGGCGATAACCCGGACGGCCCCGAGAGCCTCAGCCTGGCAGAACAGACCCAGCAGAGGAGCTGTCAGATACAGACACCAGTGGAGGTGCACTCGCCCATGGGGACTGGCTTTGAATTCGGTGGGGTGGACAGTGTGTTTGAGGAGGAAGAGGAAAGCGTTGTGACATTAGATACAGAAGAAAAGACTGTTCACAATCCAGAAATGGAGGTGAAGACTGATCAGTTGGACGGTCCTGTGGAAGTAAATATAGAAAAGGTCACCTGTGAGCCAGAGGAATGTCTGAATTCTGTAGCGATTTTAGATTTTAAGGACAATGAGGAACAGGTGGCAGAAAGAGATGCCAGACCTCAGGAAGTTCTGGAAGTTGTCTGCTCTGTGACGCAGGTTTTAGAAAACCACGTCATCTCTGAGTTTAACGGTCTCGATCATATTGATAGCACCAAGGGTCCAGTTTCAGATGTCAGCTGTGTGGAGGATTTAGAGAAGTCAGACGAGCAAAAATCCGAAAGCAAAGAGGAGACTCCTCTTCAGTCAGAAGTCGATGCTGAAACTGACGATGTGAGCAGTGTCCCAGATGTGGAAAGTGGTCACGTAGTTCACCAGATCGACCAAAAGCAAGTTGAAGAAGAGGTGGATTTTGTTGGGACCAAAGATGAGAGCGATGAGGACAGCCACTCGCTGCCATCCTCCAATGAGAGCATTGTCAAAGTCAGTGAGGAAGAAAGTGTTTATGACGAGACTGAGGACTTGATCCAGGCTGCGAACGGCTACATGAAAACATCTCCTGAGGACGTCTCTCACTGGTCCGAAGTGGAGGCCTCCAGCAGGAACATTTTGGACCTACAGATAAATGGATGCTCTGTGGAGAAAGAGGACATTTCTGGCCAGGAGGACGAGGACCTGCAGTATATGACATCTGTGGACCTTAACTCAACTGTAGCAAGTGCAGATTTGACTGAAAGCGGTGACTTCAGCATCTTAGAGACCAGCAGCGGTCCTGCAGTAGCTGATAGTAAATACACTGAGCAGGAAACCCTGTCCTCGCTGTCTTTGGACGCCCCAGACGAGACTCATGAGGTGCAGGTGCGTTAGTTTAACACCTGCAGTCCATGAGACCGCATATATAAGCCCTGTTTAAGGGCTGCTTCACCCTCACTGAGCTAGATCAATGGATGGTGGGAGTCGTCCTCTGCCAAAGACGCATTCGATCACACGAAGATAAACAAAGTACATACTGGGAGTTGTGTTCTGTCACAAAATATGTGCACATTATTATACAGTCTTCATTATGTGGATGATCTAGTCTGTTAATGTCAAACAAGAACAGAGGCATACTTATAATTTAATATTCAGTCATGTTCCTGGCATAACTTGTTTTTAAAATAGTGTATATATATATATTTTTAAATGACTGTCTTCATTTACACTCAGGTACACTAAATACTGGAACAAGTTTTTTTTTTTTTCCTCTGCCGTGCATCATGATTGGCTTCTTTGGGAACAGCAGAGGGTGCCCAAGTTCACAAAAAATATCTAGATTAATGAATCAAAATCTGGTTTCCTGATCACATCTAAAGAAGTAATGGTTTTATTGTTCAGTAAGAGATACAATGAATGTTTTTGGTGCTGAAATTTAGTCATGTTATGTTGCAGAGTCCACCAATAATGAAAAATTTGAGAAAACAAATTATAACAAAGACATATACACTGGAATTAAAGAGGTTCCGATTTTTTATAGCAACACTCACATGTCCGTATGTGCTTTGAAATAGAATTGCATCGATTACTTGATTAATCAAATAAAATTAATGCACAATAATCATTTTAGTCATCTGAGGATGTCACCTCAGGCTGTGGGACATTACAACAAACATTTTTCACCATTTTCTGACATTTATGAAATTCAGCCTAAAATAACACGAGGCCTAAGACAAATCATGTGTGTTTCTTGCAGTTACAGTCTATTTAATACCAGTTTCACTCTGTGTTTTTTCCTGTAGAGCTGCAGTGAAGGTACAGTCAGACAAATAGAGAATTCAGAAATAAAAAGACTGTAAATCTGGTAGTCAGACACTTCATTTGTCTAATGATAACTGGAGATTTTATTCTACATCATTTGCTCTCCAGTATGAACAGAAGGAACAATTACAGACATGTGAGTATTGCTTAAAGACAGAGGGGAAAAAAAGGTGAACCCACCTTTTAAGTCACTAGAGAATCACGCAGTTATTCCTCACTTAATGTGAATCGCATAAAAATCTCTAAGTCAACAACTGCCTGCTTATGATGCCATGTATAATCTATCATTGATCCAAGTCACTAAGTCAGGATGGTTTGGTTTGTCTGCAGAAGAGACAAATTACGTCACTTTAGCCGAAAAAAGCACAAATAAACAATTGTGTTTTTTTTGGATTTCATTTCATAAACAATTATCAGAATAAGAAATGTAATTGAATCATTTGATTACCTAATTTAAACTGAACCACTTGTCTCAAAATTAAATTAAAACAATAACATATTCACTTGGGAACCACTGTGCAATGAAATCAACACCTTTTCAGTCTCTTTGATTCATTAAATTGGCAAAAGGAGAAATGAGTGACACCCTTAGAGCGACACCATGGTTTATATACACTAAACTTTATCTGTGAAGATTTTTCTTTTTAGTTATTTATTTCAGACATTAACACAGTGCTGCCTCTTTTCTAACGAACAACAGTTGGATTAAGGTGCGCTTAATTCGTTTTAAATTAAAGACTACACTGAAGAGTATATTTGTGGTTTTTAATTCCACCTAGTCTGAAGCTTGGTCCTCGACATGGTTACACACACATGCACACACACTTTTTGCTTTTAAAAGGGACCCACAGTTTATTGTATCATTTCACATAGACATGAGCTTTTACATGTTTTTGTTTTTGTGGCAAAGTTAGCCGTGTTGAATTGATGATCAGTGTTTCCATGTCAACTCTGACTGTAGACTTTCATTAATCTTAAACTGTCATAGGAACTACTGTTGTCGTCGGATTGTACAGTCCTGGGTTTTGCTATCTGTCTACACTGTAAATGAGCACCTGAGGTATTTTTTGCAAACTTGAGTTGCTTTTAAAAAGTTGTTTTATGTTCAGAGTCAAAAACCCTGCTTCTACAGAGACTTCTATTTTATAACATGGATCTACAAGGGCAATGATAACAACCTGAGTGATGTGTCCGTGTAAACGTACAAACTATCATCTAATAATTTCATTTCAAATAAATAGTTTTTCTTCTTTACCATGTCACATGTGACTGTTTATTTCTGCATTTTTCTTCAGATTTTGATATATTTGCTTATCCAACCCATCTCATAGTTTTTAGACAACATATTGGAGCAATCCTGCCACCTAGTGGGTGAAAATGAAAATGAGTTTAATAACCACTGAATTTCAACTGAAAGAGCAAACACAAGCAGTAAATTATATTTTTGAGATGCCTCTCATACTCCAAACATTATGTAGTTTAAAATGTTTTACATATAGTACATAACATCTGCTGATTTTTTTTTATTGTATGTCATTGATGAAAACTTCTAGGCCAAGATGAAAAATCATTTACAATTCACAAACAATCTACATATTGATCATTTTAACAGGTGAATCAATAAATGCATCAGTCAACAAAGATAATTCAGTTTGTACCAGGGTTGCAAGTAAACAGTTATTTTCACTATCAAATGTTGTTATTTTTCTGATAAACTGGTTTTGTCCATTAAATGCTAGAAAATAGTACATTTATATAGTATTACAATAAATTCTCATTAAAAAGTTTTATTCAATTTATAATAAAAAAAAAAACCCTCAAATTTGAGAAGCTGCAACCAGAGAATGTTTTAGTTTTTTTCTCGATAAATATTATATTAATATTTATCAATTATCAAAATTGTGGTCTCTGAACATTCTGTTGATTGACTAACAAATGAATCGACTGTTTCATTTCTAGTTTGCACATCAGACAGGATCCTTTACAAATGATTTATAGTGTGTAGAAATGAGTTCAACTGCTGCACATTTACATGATATAATTTACCGTCTTATGAGGGAATAATTTTCAAAAAATTTGAAAAGATGGTCTGACAGGCCTGTCTGTGAAATTCCTGGCTGGCTTTGTCAACAGCAGCAGCTCTGTAGAAGAAAAAAAAAAGAAAAAAAGAAACACACCATGAGAGAAACATTCATTAATAATTCAGATTTCATTTTAAACTGTGTCTATCTAACAATATTAGGGAATCATTTTCTTAAATACGACAACTGACGCTGTGATCACGCTTTTGTTGCACATATTTATTCTCACCCATCACCTATTGCACCGTTCAGATTGCTTTATGCAGTACTTCTTCCAGCCAGCAGATGCCATAAATGGCAGGTCAACGACTGAATATACCTCAATGGCATTCTGGATGAGTACCAGGGGGACCGTTTCTGTGTATTAGGCCACAGTAATGGTCCATAATGCTGATGATAAGAGAGTACCTCTGTACCTGTTGGAGCTTAGAGGATGTAAGCAGGGTGCAGGAAGTCCTTGGGGACGATACCCACAGTGCCGTTCAGCTCTCCGACCCACCAGCCGTGAATGTTGTACTCCTGGACCCGAAATGAACAAATAAAGAACAGTAAGTCTCTGAGGGATCCGAGAACAAGTAAACGAAGCAGGATCAAGCACCAATTTCACATTTTTATTTGATTTTAATATAAGGGTCATCTCATATTATTAACGCAAGAACAACCATTCCAATGATTTGAAATGCAATTATATGTGGCCTGTCCTTTTCAGCAGCAACTAAAATAATAAAATTAAAAATGATCTTGTATCATATAAACTCAACTCTAGCAAAGGAAATCCAGAAAAGTCAAGATCCCAGCCACTAAACAGTCGTGTAATATTCTAATAGTCACTGTGGCACATTAACCCTGAGGGTCTTCATTCACCGACGGGGAAAACGGTAAACAAGACGATTGAGACAGTGAGCATCGAACATAAAACTGTTTTTTGTAACTGATGAAAAGCCATAACGACTGCCTGCCTGTTCTCCCAGACTAATGATGAATGAAACAAAACTTAATTTTTGTACTGTGATTAAAAGAAACAGAAACAGGATCAGAGTTTGCCATGTGTTAAGTCCAATCGGGTCAATTTTTATTTATTTAGCCTAATGTCATAATTCACAGACCTTTGATTCAGGTGAGGAAAAACTTCCCAAAAAAAACAACTTTTAAAGAGGATAAAATGGAAGTGTGTATAGAAAACATAATGCTGTTCACATTAGATTAAATGCACTGTAACTCAGTACAGTGACTGAAAACATAAAACCTCAAAAAGAGAAACAATTGTATCTGTTTCATGTCACCAGAATTAAAAACCTTCAGGGTTTTTTGGCAGCTGGGAAAAAACAATAATCTGTTGTAGGAAATCAATTTGGATTTTTTATGAGCACGTTAGACATCTTGTAGACCAAATAATGGGGTTAAAAAAAATGAAACAAAAACACATGAAATGTTTAATTAAATAGGAAAGATAGAAAGTGAGACAATATCGCTTCAATTCAAAAAACTTTGATAAGATAAATATAACGAAAGAGTCTAATTTCAATGCACTAAGCCAAGGTTTTGATATTTACAATTCACGTGTTATACTTTTTGGAAGTATGAAAATATGTACATGGATCAAATTGTGGGCATAATGTGAGATTTTATGTTGCGTTTAATCATCACTGAAAGAATCAGATTAAATCCATGTTAGATCAAATTCATATACATTTAATTGGCTATTTGGTTAATACTCAGTTAAATAATCAACATTATACATTAATTGGCAGTGGAAATATCTATATGTCTAGTTCTCACATAAGACTTAAATAACAAAACATCTGATCATTAAAAGTGTTTTAAACATTTAGGAATTTGAGTCACATCAACCACCTCATGACCATGTGATCACAGCAGTTGGGCTCTAACTAGATCTGTGCTAGATCAATATTTGGCTTGAGACCAGAGGGGCGTTAAAGCCCAGCAGAGGAGCAGAGGAGGCACCAGCCGGCCTTCATTTTCCCCGTCCTGATGGAGCAGAGAGCCTGGCCCCTCATCTCTCCTCTCCTCTCCAGCAGATTGAGAATGGCTGCCTGAACAGTTTGCCTCTGCACTGAAGAGAAGATAAAATGCTCAACTACACACCGACATGTACCAAGTCCGAGCAAACACATGAGAGCAGATACATGCAGAAAAGTTTGGTGTTCTGATGTCTTGCGTTTCAAACTGGAATCATTTGCTCTTGCTCTTACAGGTTCTCGTTTTAAAAACACACACATAACATGACATGACGAACGGCATTTTGTCACTGATCATCTCCACCTGACACCTCTCTCCCGCCAGAGGAATGAGGCCTGCAGCTAATGAGTGGTGTTTGGACAGCAAGGAGGGATGGATCGCTTACAAAGTGATAAACCACGAGACTCAAGTGTTCTAACAGCACAAACAGGTAGCTACAGTAACCAGCCTGTCCATCTAGGCCTCATCGTTCTGACTCTGACTGGGATGCTCCACTACACTTGGCTCTGTGACAGAGTCTGAGTGACAATTCAGTGTGTGTTTGAGCTCATCACGCAGGGGAAAGTGAAGTCCGAAATGGTGTTTTTATGCTTCCCATAAGACTGCAGAGGGAAAAGCCCGGTTGCGGAAAGCTGGCTCTGGTTCCCAATTGAGAGGAGGTGAACAGAGGAGGAGGAGAGGGGGAGACAGACGGACGGGGGGGAGGCATCGGAGAGAGGGAGCGAAACAGTTTTTCTCTCCCTTGGGGGCGTCGCAGCACTATTCCACCAACCATAGTGACAGAGAGTTTTATTTATCTCCGCGGCCCATCTGTGCAGTCGGTCTCAAATTCTCCCTGAGAAAGGTCTTTTGGATTATCAGCGCCGCCATTTTAATACAACTGCTACATCACAGAGTGGGTGCCAATGGCGGTGGAAGTCTGTCAGGCGTGCAGAGTCCATCTTCCTCATACTTGAAATGGGTTCATCCAGAGTACACCTGCTGTAATAGGGACATTCCAAGAGGCGTGGAGAGTAAATTATCCAAATGACAAAAACTATGCTAACTGCTCAATGTCCTCCTCCTTCTGTTTGTTTTCCTCTTTCTTGTCTTTTAGGTTGATTTGTTTTTGTGCGATTTTGTATCTGAAGTTTTGAAATGTTAAGGTTGGGGCAAAGAGCAGGCATATTTCGGCTCATTGTGGCACTGAATAATGGGACAAGTTGTTAAGTATTCGTTCCCTCCAAGATGCTCTGGGGTGAGCAAAATCAAACGCACCTGAGCGGCTGAGTTATGAGAAGTGTCTGGTTTTATCCCATTTACAAGATGTCCCAGGATGCACTGTGTGAGTAAGAGAGGTGACACATATCAGAGCCTGTGTTTACTGCAACCTGGATGCAGATCAAATCGACTCTGTGTGGGAGCAGAGGGAGAAAAAGAGGGGAGGGGGTGGGGGGGCAAACAGCGCCATGTTGTGGCGGCTGCGGCACGTTGACTCGTTAACCTCCCGGTGACTCCTCCGCCGAGAGAGCGGGGAATGAGCGTGGGCGGGGCTGGCGCTGAGAGCAGGTTGCCATGACAACACCTGCAGTGTACCGGCGCGATCGTTTATTTACCACTCAGGGGGCTGGCTAATGGTGGCATTCTGATAGGCCCATCGCTCATGTACCCGACCAGAGGACGGATTGACAACTACCCGAGCCTGAAGCGGGGAGAAGGTGAGTCGAGGTTGGTTGGATGCGGCGAAAGACGACGGGGGTGAGGCAGGTGTCTTGTCACGCCACCGCCATGTACCTGAACACAACACAGCTTTAGAAAAAACACCTTTTTTTTCCTTTTAGTAAATTGTAAAATTCTGTAGAGATCCTCACTGCATCTCCTCTTCCTTTCCTTTATCTCAAACACACACCCATGCTACCAGATGAAACACACACACACACACACACACACACACACACACACACACACACACACACACACACACACACAAACACCAATCCCAAATGCATACAAACTAGGGGGAGTGCTAATAAGCCTGACACATGAGGCATCTTTCCTCGGCCACCAGCTGACTGAGGCAGGCCTTGGGCGTGATGGAGCGCAGGAAGTCTCTCATTGCCCTGCTGCTGAACCCGCCGCCTGGGTGTTACAATCTTTCCCTCCCTCCCTCCCTCCCTCCCCATCTCCAGCCCCCTCCCTCCTTTCCTCCTATTCCTCTCTTTCCATCTCTCCTGTAGCAGCCTTTCCACTTGCATCCTCTCTTGTTTTTTTTTTTTTTTGCCTTTCTCTTTATCCTCTACATGGACTCATCAGATACACTGCAGCTCTCTGCAGTTCTTCCATCACTGCTCACACTAACAAAGAAACATGAACAGCTTGTGCCAGACAGAAGCCCGTGATCTGTAATCTGCAATCAGGTTAGCGAGCCCTCCTCACCGCTCACACAGGTACACTTCACAAATGACCTGATAATACCTGAAACTGTTGGGGAAATGCTTATTTTTGGAGGAATCTCTGCTAAGAAAAAATCTTGTCAAAATCCATTCAGAAATATGGACGATTATTCTGCACAACCAGAGATCGAAATGGCTACTTAGTGTCCATTTTTTCCTAGTGGGCTTTTAATTAAATCAGTGAATTGGCTTCAAATTGGAAACATGACAGAGCATGAGAACGTTTGAAAATATCTCAGGGACGATGAGATTTAATAAAAAGAAAACCTACTTGCTCCTTTCTAATGCACGCCTGGGATTACAGATAGCTCCTTAACTTAATAGCAATTTAAAGTGGATTTGTGTATGCCACTGAGTGTCTGTAATGATGGCTGTTTACGCCGCCCCTCATTTATAATAATTAAGCAGAATGGATTGGGGGTGGGTTGCTCGGACACGGTTCTGGGCTATTGGCTTGGGCTGAATAATGACCTACTGTAGTTGACCGGGGGATGACCGCTGCCTCCTGCATGACCCCAAACCCCAGACTCACCCCCTGCTACTCTGGGTGGTAAATAGGATGTCTTGCCTGTCTATAGCGTCTTGGTGTCTATGGCCACAATAGCAGCTAGGGGTCTTTAAATGGGTGTGTGACAGAGAAAAGGAGAAAGGAGAGGGGGGACAGGGTTCACACAAAAGAATAAAGGGATCCCCCCTCTTTGTCTCTCTTGCTTGACTTTTCCCATCTGATTGTTTGCCCACTTTTCCTTTTCTTCAGCTGCATTCAGTCCGTGTGACCTGTGGGCAGTGGCCCAAACTGCCTTGTAAAACTGAGAAGAAGCCAGTTATGACCCTAAGGCCGTCACAGGTAGTTTAGATAGAATATGAGTGGCCATTTAAACAAAATTTCTTATTTCTTTTTAAAAAATGTTTTATCATAACTTGCATTTTTTGGAAGCTATAAATCACAACAAGTGAGTTTATACGGCTGTAAATCAGCTTTAGGTGTTTGTATAAGGTGTTATTTAATAAGATGAAATTCTGATCCAAACTGCCACAAGGTGTCAGTGGTGTCCATGTTCTCATTCTGTCTGATGAGCAGCTGCAGCTGAACATTTTGGCCAAATGTGAAGTGACGCTCTGCTTTGGGAGACACACCCGATTGGCTGGCACGTCTCCCTCTCTCTGCGTTTTGGTTGGACAACGGATGGAGGAAGAGAGGTGAGAAAGGCAATGGAGAGAAAGAGGGAGAGGTGGCGGCAACGCTTGGCAGAGTTTTAAGGACCCTGGATCGGTTTGTGCCATAAATCTCTTCCCACTCCATCCCGCCGTTCTCCATGAGTGCCTGTGGGAATACAGGAATGTGACAGCTGACCTGTAGAGCCCGTGTCTTTTGATTCTGGATACATAAATTAGAGGGCAAGAATGCAGGACAACCTTATGGTTGAGGGTGTGACATGGCTGACAATGTATACAGGCATTACACATGTCAGGAAGAAGTGAAACAATAGCTTTTAGCCACAGTGATGAATTAATCCCATATTGCAACAACACATTGTAAATCCTATAACAAATTACCCTTTGCATGTTACAGGATAAGCTGCAGTTTAGATCCTCCTGATGCAGTGGAAATGTGTGTGAAACATCTCAACAATTTAAAATCAACAGAGTGCAATACTGCAAAAAACTTGAGCTTGCCGGTATCTATCATCACACACTAAAATGTCAGTGTACAGCCATAATGCGCATTAGAAAAATGCAAGCCCTCAGAAATGAAATGCCAGAGCAAAAATCACAAGATGTATTTCACGGTGTGTTTCTACCTCATGTATCAGCGCGCTGAGCATCGACATCAAGCTCTGCGGAAAGCAAGTTAGGCAACCAGCAGCGGAGGCACGCTATGAGATTAATTCTCTTGAACTAATGGGATTCATATGAGTTGTGAGGTTTCTAATTTATTTACTTTGTCAGTGATACACAGATGTGCGCGCATGCACAGCAACACACAAGGGAAAAAAAACACAAATACAGTAAAAATGCCCCCACTTTACAGTAAGTGAGAGATCAATAATGATGGATGAGGGCCTTTTATACAATCGGCATGTTCTCCTCAGTTCACAGCCATATGACACCACGCCTGTGGCTATCCCATTCTGCACTTCAGCAGTCAATCACATCCCAGCTTTAAAAATAACAGTTTGTTAGCACCATTGATTTAGCACTTAGAGCGTGTCCTTATTACCTTGTAATTATGGTCAGTGTTGACATAACAGCACAGACAACCAGGCCTCCCACCCTCTAAGAGAATTTATGGGCCCTGGTTTTATTACGGCCATTTCATGTGTCTGGGTCCCCAGTTAAGCGACAGACTTGAGTTCTAGCCAAGGGCCCGTATTTCACTCATCGAGGTCAGGGTTCTCAGGAATCCCCCCGTAAAACTGAACGCCGACAGGGCCTGCGTGTACACACAGAAGACACAGGGAAGCCCTCCCCAAGGGCTCATTAAAATAAATAGCCGATTACAGGCCATAATCCAAATAATGCTATTCATGAGGGAAATGTGATGCTAGTAAGACACAAAATGGGACAGGTGGAGTCGTGTCGTCACACAAAACCAAACATTCGGAAGCCGTCCGGAGATCACCTTTAAATAATTTACAGCCAGAGCCTCACTTTAAATCCATTAGAAGATAGTTAGAATCCTCTCTCACAGTCTGTCACTGTGTTATGACTTCAGCATATAAGCTTGACAAAACAAGAGTAATCTGTGTCATTAAGATTGTGAGATACTACAACAGAGTCTTGCCTCCAACCTGGACTTAAGTTTGCTTTTAAGGTCTCCGGTAAGGCGGTAATCCGATCCATACAGTGTAAAGTAATACGCCAGGCAGGGCTGAGGCTGTTTGAGGCGGATCCGTAGCACGGAGCCAGGTCCCCTTTGTTTCCCCAAGTGCGCTGCCTTTGTCATCCTTGCGTGAAAAATGGACATGGCTGTTTTGACATTTTCCCCTATCAACCAGCACACACAGACAGAGAAGGCTGGCATCTCATTAATCTGGCACTGCCAAAAGAACTTCAATTAAAAGTCCATCTTGTGTGAAAGGCATATTTCACCTGTGCCACATCTGCTGTTGTAAACTAAAGGCTCATATTTCTTCAACAACAACTGACACTGTTTGTTTATCCATCTAAAATAAAATTAAAACCTTGACTTCTTTCATTTCTGTGCTTAACCTGCTGTAAAAGGAAAAATACAAATAATTAAAATTCAGTTTCTCTAACTGCTGATCAAAGATGCATTAAATCATGAGGTCGAACACATAATTTCTCTATCTCTACCTTCTAATTACTAACAAGAAAGCTGAATATGCTGTAATTTCTTCCTCCCACTACTCTTCAGATAATTTAACGCAAACACAGAACATGATGATTCAATTTCTAAACCGACCAATAGCAACAGCCAGGGAACAAGGCGCTGTACGCAGCAGAGTAAAAGTGCCCAAATTACAAGCCATTGATTTCCAGTAGGGTGGCTTTTCCCTGGTAGATACTCTGCATGTAACTACAAGATGGCCATAAAACACAAAGAAATAGATTGAGAGAAAAGAGCTGAGATGCAGGATGGCTTCACCTGCAGTTTATGTCAAACAGAAAGGAAGAGCTTCGCATGGCTGCCTACTCAATTAACCCCTGTGATAGAGGCTCCATAATGAACAACAGCACCATTACGCAGCGCCCGAATGGTGCTTCACCCTAGTGGCCCGGGAATAGACAATGCCACTGTTGCTGCTTCTCTGCTGCATCGAGATACAAGTGCTCACTAACAGAGGAATTTAGATGTCGGGGATATCAGCATGTCGGGGAAGTAAATGAGGACAAAGTGATTACTGGAGTTGATGTTGTTTAACCCTTAAATAATTACAAATTTTCCACATCTGCATCACATTTGACTCATTTTAAACTACTGTAATTGCTCCTGTAGTTATGTCTACGAGTCGAGGGTGCAGTTAGGAATGGTTCCTGACTGTGAGAAGTGTGTCCAGAAATCACTGACATCTGAGGGAAGTTTAAATAACCTCTTGGATTGTTGTGGCTGATGGTGATGCTGACCTTGCTGATGATGTAGATGAGATCCCCTCTGTGGAAGCACAGCTCATCTGGCTCGTCGGCATCGCAATCCCATAAACCCTGGTAGTAGTTAGCGTAATCTGATGACCAAGCTGAGAGGAAATGCAAAGCACAAATTTAAATTAAAAACAAGACAATGGTGTTTCCTCACGTCTTAGACAAAGAAAGTCGCTGTGAACTATTAAGCTGGAAATTTTCTCATTATTAGCACAAGACTGTAATGAGGTGCTGACCTGGTTTGTTGTTCTTCTCACTGCTCTCATCCATATGATCTGGAAAATCCTCTTCTAAACAAACAAAACACAACAAAATGATACTTGTGACAGAACATTTATCCATGTCTGACTTCACTTTTAGAAGCAGGAAGCATTTTTTCACTAGATATCAGGGCCCGAACATTTTAATTTCATTATCTGACAGTAAAAAAAAAAAAGAACAAAACATTACCTCTATGGGACTCTAGTACAAACTATTTCTCAGAAGATTTCTTTTTGTCTCACAAATGTTCAGTACAAAATAAGCAAAAATAAATAAAAAAGGATTGCCAGGCAATCTCTGATGTATCTCCACGTGACACAAGAAGTTTATTTTTCTTTCACCAGACTGAACTCCTCGATGAGGATCAATTTGTTCAAATGTATCAGAGACCCAGATGGGAAAAGTTGAAGAAAAAGAGGCTGTCTTTAAGGCACGCGGAGGCGGACGTGTCATCGACTGTGGGGCGTGGCACCCGGTGGTCTGAGAGGTGACACAGTGATATGCCTGCCCTCTGTCTCCCACATCCATCCTTAACACCAGCAGGCTGACAGCAACCCAGCAACACTATCCACCTTCCAGCACAAACCTGCGCCTCTGCTTCCAGGAAGAGCAGGAAGGACGACACACACACACACACCCTAATACACACATACTGTATATCCACCACATGCATATTTGTGATCATGTGTATAGTTTGTGTCTGGATGCACAAAGTTTCATGTGTCTATATGTGAGGGAGGTCTTTGTCTGTCTCTCACACACACAGTGACTGGCAGTTTCAGGTTGTTGAACATTTCAAGAACAAAATTACTCATAATTTCTATAAGATTCAAAAGGAAATTATGCATAATTATAGATTTTCTTAAAAAAAAAAAAAAAAAAAGAGTTTTAATTTTGTTTACAAAGGGTCCAAACATTTGTTCAGCACTCTTCATGTGCTGTAGAGAAGAGCATCCTTCAGTCGAGAGGCCACCGCCATGGGCCAACGGTTTCTATATCAAAGTGATTTAATTTTCCAGTCAATAAAATCAGTCATCAGCACAAGAGCCAATACCACCAACGCTGCATTCTGCCTGCAACTGAGCCGTGTTTGGAGAATTTTGCTCCGACAAAACTGAGGGAACTCGTCACCTAGAAAATGATGCTTCACTTCTACTCTTCATTTCTTCACTTGTTTGGCTGTTGCACTGCAAAATCTGCAATATGCAATATTTTCCAGATGTTCGATGTTAATAATTTTAGGAAAATAAACTTAAATTTGTGTAGCAACTCCTGCAAAGTTATCTATTCATGTGAGCAATAAATGAAGGAAAAGTCTAAAAAAAATGAACAGAATACAGTCACTGCAAAGATTACTAACAGTAATATCTGTATATGTTGAGAAGGGAACATTCTTAAATACAAACATATGCAGCTTTCCGATCAATGAAAATAACAATAAAAATCTAATAATTTAACAGTATCTATTCACTGTGCAGAGGCTGGAAGTGAGCAAAGAGAGGTGCAGAATGATTGATAAGTGAAGGGGTGAGAAAGTGAACGAAAGAGCCCGTCATTCGATATGCCATCTGTGGTCAGGGTCTGTACCTCTTCCCAGATGGCTTTGAACGCTGGCGTGACAGTCTGAAGACTGATTTCCCTCTCACCAGTGATTTTGGCAAAGGTAATGTACTCACTGAGTGAAACAGAATCTTGATGTATCTTATTTAATAGAAAGAGTGATGGACGACGGCCCTGAGAAGATCGGATCACCCCTTTTGTCCTTCTTGGGATCTTGTAGCCACCCTGACACATGGGACCGTCTACCCCTCAGTGCAGACTCACACACACTCTTCCTCTCAACGCTCTCAATCAAACTCTAATTTCTATTAAAGATGTGACATTAAGAGCTCCAGGACTATTTTAAGCCCTGAGAGATGCAGTTTTTACTTCCTTTCAACTAAATTGCTGTTGCTAGGCAATTTTAGCCAAAACTCTGCTTAGTGGATTGAATTGTGGGCTATTTGTTGCCTGGCAACATTAGCTAATTGGACGTTCTATGACAGAGCATTCAGAAGGACCCAGCTCTCGCTGATTTCAACAACATAACTGTTTCTCAACAGATAGCTCGCAGTGAGAAAAGCACAGAAACCAGAGGAAGCAGTGCGAGGAGAATCTTCCCCTTCCTGCCCTGTGTGGCTCTGCAGCAGACACGCCAGCCCTGACAGGCTTATTAGTGTTGCTTGATTTAAAATGACTGATCAGTCTGGGTGTTGTGGTGATAGGGAGGCACCTGGGAACAGAAATTTCACAGCCAGGGAGGATCATCACAAATATTTCTTGTTGCAAAAATACCTACGGGTTTGAGTGTGTGTAAGGCAGAGTGTGTGTGTCTGACTGAGTATCATGAGGGGTTTGTGTGTGCAGCACCTTCCTGTCATTTCATCTGTGTGTGGGCAGTTGCTGGTGCATCTATGCATGTAAGGTAACCAAATCCTCATACCTGGCAGCACCTCGTAGATATCCTCATCTTCCTCGTCGACCTCCTCCGACTCCTGTTTGCGGCTCTGAGAGGCCCGGGCAGCACCGGGCCCGGGCGGGGGAGGGCCAGTCACCCCCTCAATGTCATCATAGGTCTCCTCTTCCTCCTCCTCATCGTCATCGAAAGGAATGAGGCTGGAGCTAAGATCTATCAGGGAAGGAGAGACAACATGATGGGCCACGTTAGCGCCAAGATGGAACGCAGTGTGGCACAAAAGACACACACATGCATTAAAGGGTAAAGTAAGAGAAATGTTCGAAGGGTCCTGACTGCACAACAGGCTATGACACGTGCCATGTAGTGGCAGTAACAAACACTAGAGGCTTCAGGCTTCATTCAGGCTACACATAATGAGTCTTTTTTATATGATCTACCCATGTGTCCTAGAATTCTTTATAAGGTGATGTCTGACTAACAGTTCAATCCTAAAAATCATGGTCAGTTTGTAATGATATAAAATAGACAAAAGCAGCATATTCTCACATTTGAAAAGTCAGAAGCAGCAAATGTTTTGCTTTTTTGCTCAATAAATAACTTAAATTATCTGTTCAGTGTCTCCTCTGTGCTCACCAAGTTAAATTTAAGGCTTTTTACACCTTTTTAATACCACTTAGTTTGGAACTTAATGCCTGTTTTGCCAGCCAAAATGTGAAAGATATCAGTAAAAAACAGGACAGACAATAAGACCTTGAATTATTTACCAAGTGCATGACTTTCTTTTTTACATTTGTTACATTTCTGTACTTCAGTACTTCCTTGCAGTATATCACAATAATTCCTAATAATATTTTTATTTAATTATCTGGTTAAACAGCAGACAACAGATGGATGAATGGATTAACCAATTACAAAATCAATCATTCAAGATCCCCATATGAATTTTACATAAGGTTATAGGTCTGGGACTATAGTTTGGGAATTTTCCAGCCAGTTTTTGCAAAAATCACATGCAAAAGTCTTTTTTCACTAATGTTGCTGCCATTTTCTGTCAATCCACTAATCCATAAACCTTTTTTAGTACAAGTTCTGTATCCAACTCTTTACTCCTCACACATTTTCTCCATCTTTTCGCTATATCTTCTGTGTATCACTAAACTCCTAGTGATTAAGAATCATGCCATATAATCACATCTTTTGTTTCAATGTCTCACTAGCTCCTTCTTTTCCTTATCTGTATCACTGCTGTCACTATCAAATAAAGAAAAATTTCAAAAAATCTACAAAATAAAAGATGTGAATTGAAGTTCTTAAAAGAGTGACCACAAAAATCGAATTGCACATTGCAAAGCAAATGTTTGAGCCTGGTTGTGAGATAAATTCAGGAGATAAAAAGGTTAAAAAACCATCTGCATGTTCTGGATCAGACTGCATCTCGTAGTAAAACTGGACTGGAAGGAAGTAAGACAAACTGCCGAGTGTCTGTTACTTCCCGCAAATCAGTGGCCCGGCCCAAGCCCATTTTAGAGTAGACGAGGCACGACTGCTCGCTCAGATGGAGGAGCCGTCTCATTGCAGGCGACTGGCCACTGCAACACAGGGTATCAGGTCCTCTGCCGTACACCAGCGGCCAAGCAGAAATCAATGTCACTGGAGGATAACCAGAACATCTACCAATCAATTTCCTGTAAGTTGGAATTCGGTAGGAGGGTTAGGGGAGGAGTGGTTGAGGGGGTGGAGGAGAGCTAGAGCTACACGATGGTGCACATGACATGGTGGGTGACATGTCGAATGAGGAGATTCAGGACTCGCATGTTCGGCCGTGCAGCTAGTGATGGATTGGGTGGTTTTCGTTTGAGTCAGAGATGATAAAGGGCTCCCTTTCATTTCTGACCTTTCTACCCCCTCAAAAACATGAGCAAACTTTGGTAGAAAAAAAGAAGGTTTATACTGCTTTAACTGTATTTTCCAATTAACCTATGTGACTTTTAAAAAGTCAATTCAAGTCAATTTTATTTATATGGTCAAAAATGAATTTATCTCAACATCATAAACATCCTCTATCATCCTCTATCTTTAAACCCTTGATTCAAATACAGACACAAATAAAGAAAGAAACCTTAGGGGAAGCAACAAAAATCCACACATGCAAAAGGTACCAGAGACAGCGCTGAGAGATGCAGGCTTACCTCTAAGTACAAAATTGATTTGGTCCACCCATTCTCTGGCCTCTTGAGGGCTGCTGGCAGTGAACTGGAGGGACAGAGTCGCAATAATCCTGCAATTATCATCACATCTCAGGCTGCATTTATACGGAAATAAAAGACCTTATTTTTCTTCTTTGGGGCACAGACCAAATCCCTTTCTAGCTGGCTAAGAAAAAGACAAATATGAAATTTACCTTTTGAGATACAGAGTAAATTATAAGATTAAAATAATCATCTTTTAAAATATCTAATCAAGGCATATATAGTTGTAGTGATTGGGAAAACAGTTTTACACTCAGGCATTACATCTGCCAAAGTGCCAGTTATCAATTAATGTGTCAATTATTTGCTCAATTAATCATTTGGTCGACCAAAACATAGAAAACGGTTGAGGTCTGCAAACATCTTGTTTTGTCCAAATTAAAAAAATTAGGTTTGCTGTTAGAGAGGACTCACATAAACCAGTAAAATAAAGGTCGGAATATGTGAGGTTTAATCCAAAAACCGATTAATCAACTGTCAAAACAGTTGCCAGTTCATTTTTCTGTTAATCAACTAATGGATTAATAATTTCAGATCTAATCACATAACTTTTACACTTTTGATAAAGAGACATTAAATTCGTTTTTTTAAAGAATTGTGACCAAGATATGTTTGAGAGGGGAATTTTATAGTAGATAAATAAACTTGTGTCTCTTGTGGAGCAACTATGTGGAGACACTGTTTCTTAATTAAATCAAACATCCAGTACCTTTGGCATTTACTGCAATTTCTTGTTACTTATTGGGTTCTAATTTAGAGATTTCCACTATAGAAGAAAAGGGAGCTCATTTTAAATAAGGTAATAATATCTATCAAACTATCTTCCTTTACTTGAATTCCCTGACTCATACTTTTATTTACATTAATCTGTGCAGGTTTGTTGTGGTGGTAATACAGACCTGGAATGAGCGCCGTCCAGGTGCAATGAGCTCAAAACAGCAATTTTTCTTGGTGTCTTTTCTCAGGTTGGGAACCAGCTGTGCACTGTAGTAGTTTATATAAAAGGAACCCTTTTGCTGTTTATCTGTGGGGAGGAGTACACACGGGAGGTTGTTATCTGATTTAGTTTAAGTATGTGTAATGTTTCTGCACACTGACATATCAAACAAACCTTTTTCACTCCCAAAGTAGTAGAATATTGAGTTATTCAGGACACACCATCTCTTCTGCCACTCAGAGCCAAAGAAGCTGTGGTCTAGATAAATAAACGAAAATAGATAAAAATGGAAAATTACGCATAGACACGCGGCTATTTTTATAAGAAAAATTTGTACATATATTTTCAAACAGTCTATGTGACAGGTAATATCAGTTCTTCACTGTGCTTGTGAGAATTTTGCTGAAGCCACTAATATGTTTTTATTCAGTAAATCTCTAGCACCACTTCAAGTGACTAAATACCACTACTACTACTACTACTATATAATATTACTTCATCCAGGACTGCTATCTATATGCTGCTATACCTTTACGTTTCTTCTCCAAGTAGCCTTGCTTCAAGATGTTGCTGAGGTCCTGGGCAGCCACAAAGGGGATGTCCCCAAAGTCTGTGAACATAAGTTCATCTGTTAGTCTATAAAAAGGTAAAGAAATATTGAAAAATGAAAAACAACAACCAAAACAACTTCCCAGAGCCCGCTGTGATGTCTTCAAATCCAAACACATTTAATTTATACTGATATAAAAGAGAGAAAAAAAATAAATCCTCATATTTGAGAAGCTGAAGCCAGAGAAAGTTCAGCATTTTTTTTTCCTGATAAATGAGTTGCAGGCATCTAATCAATTAATCAGCTAATCATTTCAGCACTAACTCCTAATAAGCTGCATTTAAAATGTTCTTCATTCCCAAGGCAACACACACACACACGCACGTGCACGCACGCACACGCCCGCGCACACACACACACACACACACACACACATAAAGTCTCCAGCCCTGTGGATCAAATACATCCCTGCTAGGCTTTAGGAAACTGGATCAATACATTTACAGTGCTGCTGAGCACTGCAGTCCATTCATCCGCTCACATTGCACTTTTAATGGGAGCAACCTTCCTGTGGGGATTCAAACAACTCTCTTCAATTTGCAAAGTCAAATTTTAAACATGATAGGACGATGGCACATCTTGAGAGCCTTAAGTTAATTAGTGCAGTTGTTGGAAAGCGATGCACAATGCACTTCAGACAGTATTAAGCCTCCTGTGCCATTCAGAAGTTTTAGGATGACTTTGCTTGGCTTTTTCATCTTCATGGCGTAGTTTGAATCTAACTAGGAATGTTTATATGAAATGCGTTTTAACCACTCACAGAGAAGCAGTTTTAACCAGCTGTTCCATGTTGAAAAAGTTCTATCAAGAAATCTGCTTCTTTGACCTATTTCCTAGCCTTAAGTCATTAGAGGGGAAATTGTAAAATTGACCCCAGGTTGACCTCGAGGGCCATCTTCCGCCCTGTGCTTTAACAGGACTACCTGGTTTTACCATGTGTCAAAAACAAAGCTCAGCTTCCTCTGAATTCATTAGTCAACAGGCATTAGTCCTGCAGGAGAAGAAAGCAGGGGGCGAACAGGAACTGCCTTTTTAGCCTGAAACCCAGGAACAATTTAAAGACCATTTACACTAGTCAGTGTGACACCCCATACAGACCACTGATGACAGGGGGAATGCCTGGAGTCCATCCCCCTCAGAGAGGACCTGTTTTACTGCTGGGAAAACCCAAACATGTCAGCCCAAACAGGGTCCTCTGGCTTAAACAAAGAGCATCCCCCAACATTAGAAAAACAGGAATCTCTTTGTCATTCATAAAAACCGGCAACATGAAAAAGCAGCTGCAGTTGAATGCCCAGTCCGACTGTGTCCTGCTCCCTCCCGGTGAAAGTTGTTGTTCTGAGTCTTTTCTCAGTGAGTTCTGTCAGAATAACTTTGATCTACAGAGCAAATAAAGTTGATATTGGCTTTTTGCTTTGCTAACATTCCAGAGATTTAAGTTCACAACAGTCCAGTGTGTGATCCGACAACCCCGCACCGCTTCAGCTCGTGGGCCTGACAGATGAGCGGGTCATTCCAGAGCAGAGCCCCAGACACCTCACAGCACTAACACGCTCACATATCATCAGCCTGCCTTTGTGGATGGACTGAGCGGTGACACTATAAATACAGAGGTGCTAAGGACTGTTTTGTCAAAGAGAACCTGATTCAGTACATCATAACAAACAGCGGTCATTATGCTCCTCCACCTCATCTATCCGCCGGCAGTCCGTCCATTTTTTTCCTGGGCCTGCTTCCCTGTTGCGGCCCACTTCTAATCCCCTCATCTGTCTGCTTCCCTCGCTCTTCATTTATCTCAAAGGTTGAGCCCGGCTAATAGACGAGGAGGTACAAAATCAACACGGGATCACTCTGATCTGCTTGAGTCAATAAACATTACACATTCATGCGTGCTTAACACTTTAACACCCAGTGACCTGACCTCACTTGACTGTCCTTCTTTGTACGAACCCTCGAACACGAGTACGACAGAGTGAGTGCAAACACGGACTTTAGTGAAAATGGGAACATGTACACAATAGTTCTAGTTTCTTCCACAGGGTCGCAGCACAACCTAAAATCACCAGGCTGCTTACTGCTGGTTGCTCCCACCCTAAATAGAAGTAGATCCTGATTGGTCCTGAGTTAACAATGTCTCCTTTAATGAAAATTACACACTAACACCTCTTTGGGACCAGTGCAATTTTAAGTGGATATTCAGGGGTAATGTTATTTGAAAAAGCCTCATTCAGAGCGTTAAAAAAGCCCAACAACCATCATGGTGTTTGAGTTTTGAGTTTGAGTACAGGCACAGAGAGACACATTAATGCATCTAATTAAGGCCTCATCAAAATCGCAGACAGACGGCACTCCTTCATAAAAATCATAAATTGCTGTATCAATTATTCAGGGCAATGCCATGACTTCATTTTCATCCCTTTTGCGTTTTAATTAGCACCATCCACAGCTTTGGTATTGACATTAATTTGATGGCAATTTATTGATATTTCAGCATAACCTATTTAGCTGAGTGCAATTACCAACAAAGAGAAGCAGACAGATGTGATGCCGGAGTCGCATCACGTGTTTTCGTAAATCAAGGTGAGGAGTCGCGACAGGCCACACTAACTGAATCTAACGGCCCTCAGTGGTCATCAGCAGGAAAAAAGATTTGAGTCACTCCATTTCCAAATGGAAGGAGATAATCAATAGAAATTGACCAGAGATATGTGTTTAATTGATCCTTGCAAAAGAACATTTCCATAAGCGAGCTGACCTGTGTGCTGATAAGTGCCATGTTCTGTTGCCTTCCTGAACTTGTTTTAAACTCGGGGTGGGGTGGGGGAGATACACAACAATGCATCTGAGCTGCCAGCGGTTTGCCACAGCCACAATCTCTCATTTGGTTATTCACACTCTCTCAGCATGGTGTTATGAGCTCAGCAGTTGATCCTGCAAGAAAAGGCTGATTTATGTTAGCATGACCAGAGGGAGTTAATGTATTCTCTCATTAAAATCCACTTTAGTTAGGCTGAAAGTCAATCAAAGGCTGGATAGAAAGTGAATCAAAATGAAGGGAAATGGTTGGGTGGGAGGACTAATATGTTACATTAGATCTAACGGTGGTCATAATGCAACATGGATGTTATGAAAACACAGAAATGCACTGAAGATGTTGACTGCCGCAGAAGATGGAAACGCTGGAGGAAAGCGAGCGGTCCCTTTATGATCTTTTCTTTGAGACAGTAGGAAGGCAGAGTGGAGCGACAGCACTGGCAGAGTTCAGTCCCAGCAGGGGTCCATGTACTTTTCACAGTCAATGGTCTGAACCACTATTGTATCCCCAGATATAGAAACAGTTCAGTTTACACCATTACACAGAGAAAGCCTGAGACAAGCAGGGATAAAGCCTTTTATAAAAATCTGACTTGTGGCAAAGCATTTTCTTCCCTCCTTCTTCAGCTTTTTCATGTTTTGAAATTTCTTCCATAAAACATTTGTTACCTGAAATCACGCAGATGTAATGTACTATATATGTCTTAGTAGAAAATGTCTTGCTGTATGTCTTCTAATACAAATGGGATGGGTGAAATGTTTGGAAAGACATTGAAATAAAAAATTAACTGATAATATTTTTGCCTTGCTCTGTCCATCAACATCTATCAAGTCTATTTGAAGTCTGTATGCCATATGTGATGTCTAATACTGGTTGTCTTAAGTGCCTAATCTATTCTGTGTCTTAATGAGAGAGAGTGTGTGTGTGCGTGTGTGTGCGTGTGTGTGTGTGTGTGTGTGTGTGTGTGTCATACATCTCGAGTATTTGCTTGAAAGTCTACATCTGTGGTTCTTTGTGCTACTGTAGATTTGTAATTCTTTTGTGATGTTGAGACTCATATGTTGTGAAGTTATGATTGTTCTGTGTTTGTTTGTTCCATCAAAGCTTTATTGGGTCTCTTTTCATTTAGGATGATTCAACTACATATATTGTTTTAGTTTTCTAGAGCTGCAAAAATTATTTTCATTATTGATTAATTTATCAGTTATTTTACTCAATGAATCATTTGGTTTATAAAATAAAGTTACTAAAGCCCAAACTGACTGATTCAAACTGCTTGTTGAGTCCAAAACACCAAGAGATTAAATACTACTGTTATGATAAATAAGAAAAGCAGAAACTCTAGTTTGCTTTTTGTCTTCCTCATTTGTTTGTTTTGATTTTTAACATCAATCTGCCCAAGAGCTGAGTATGAAAATCAACCTTATGGCAAAATCTGAGATTTTTTCTTTTTAAATCTCTAAGTAAAGAGAAAACAACATACTGCCAGCAAATTACTCTATTTACTTGTATTAACTATGAGGTTAAAAAATAAATAAAAAAATAAAACATCAGTTGACACTGTTAATGGGATTAATAAATCTATTTAAGAGCATGTAGAGGAGGGGACCCCCCCTCCCTCACAGCACAGGTTGGAATCAAAATCGGCAAGTTATCATATGTTTTCTTTCTCCTTTGCTTAGTCCTTGAGCACGGGGGCTTTCACAGTGCCTTTTCGATGCAAGAGGTATTGCATTGAATGCAGCATCAGGGGGCAGGACCTGACCTCCGCGTGAACTCTGCTGATGAGGTGAAACAGAAGGCAGAGAGAGGCTCCCCCGGCCCTGAGGGGGCTAAGGGGAGGAATGCTGCTGATTCTACAGACGAAGCGAGCGAGACCGCAATCCTCTTCAATACTGTCCTTGATTAGGAAAAAGGATTCACTCAGTGCACCTTCACCCACCCGGCGCTCAATCTGCGCGCAGGCCAAAGCTAAATTGATACATTTTTCCTCATTACAGTAGGAGGCCCTTGCTGCGCGTCCCTCCAGCAAGGCGGCCGTCAGAAGGGAGGAGAGAGACTGAGAGGCACTGAGGTTAAGGGCAGAATGTCTTCCCTGCCCTCCTCTCCTCCCCCTGATTTGATTAGGACTTCAGTCATCGATACATAAACCGTGTTTAGAACCTCCTAATGCATGTGTTTGAAC